ATTTTTCCTCTTTCCAGCCATGTTGTAAAACTACACATAGACTCTGTATCAGACTAATCCTCTGGTAAAAGTACTTCCATTTCTGGGGAAGCTTAGCAACACCAAGAATTTCTGTCTTCCTCCCCTAGTCTAGTACTGTTGCATTTTACTGCCTTCCCTTTTAACCAAAGTGTCAAGCTCCAGCTGAAGGGGAAGGGACTAGAGGAGAGAAACCTGGAGACAGGCTGAGAAAGGATGATCAATGGGTCTGGGAGATGGAGGTTTTGGAGAGGATCACAAGGGTATGAACATGGTGCACTGTCTGCAGATGGAAGCAGAAACAAGCCCCACAGTTCTGGGGTTCCTCACTGAGCTTTCTTCTCTTGACTGGCCAACCTCACCTTGTCAGGGGAGGAGGAGGTTGTGTCTGAAGAGTGAAGAATGGAAGCAAGAAGGGGGAAAGTGGAGACAGAATTCCAGCAAGAAGCCCTGGACTGAGTAGACTGAGCCTGGCTTTTGGGTTCTTTACCTGCTTGGGGCAGTGAAGTGTCCCACCTGAGCCCTCAGGTTAACAACATAATGCTTCATTTATACCAACTCCTTGGCAGGCTTGTAAATGTAAACTGAAACACAGGCTCAACTTCTTTCTTCTATTCTGCCATATGTGATGAACATTGCAGCCAACAAGGCTCTAGGCCAGTTCTAAGAAGTGGACACGTCTAAGGAACAGTGTGGTCAGCCCATTTCTTGCTGACTTGTCAGATACCACTGTTGGCATGAGAACACCCCTGTTCTTCAGAAGCAGCATTTATTTCCCCCAGTTAGGCTGAGGAATCATTGGTTGCACTGCTTATTTTATAAGATAGGAAGGGTGTAAGTCTAGAAAACGAGTCTGCAAAACACTCAACTGCACTCCTGGAACAGATCACTGTTGGAAATGGACCAGATGTCAGTATTTCTTCAGTATGGCCACTTGTTCTTATAATCTTTTTTTTAGTTATTTAAGTTGCTCCATAACAGCTGGGAGATTTTGGTATTCCCAGATGATGTTAAAGGTAGGGCTTCATGAGAACAAAATAGTTTTATTAGTTAAATGGCCCTGGGACTGTTAGCTCCTATGGAAGACAACTTCCAAAGACCAGGCCATACCTGTATAATTAAACTCTTTGCCCTCCAAAGCAAGGTAGCCACATCGAGATCACTTGTAGGGACCTGTCTTTGGCCCATGCTAATTTCTCAGCTATGCACGGAAATCATTTGGGTCAAGGGTTACATTGCCAGAACTATAACCACACTGAGACTTGAGACCAGCATGATCCAATTCCCCACAATTACTGCAGGACTATTGTCAGGAAATATGTAGCTTAACATGCTAGACAGCTATACAGACATTTGTTTTTAAAAAATCTTGTTATAAAGGTCCCTGATAGCCCCAGCAACATGAAACCTGTGATTCTGTAGAAGTGTGTTCCTCCTGGTGCTGGCAGCAGTGTTAAATCATGGATACTGGGCTCAGCATTGAACTGAACATTTCAGTGTTACTAACAAAAGGAACCTGCATCAGTAGCTGCTGCTAAAATGCCCATGGAGGAGGAGCTCCTCTGCACTGCTGGGGCAGGGGCCCACCTGAATGTGCAGTACTGATGTGTACCATGAATGTGGCATCTGGATTTCGGTAGCATTAAGCTCATCCATTTGATTCTAGACTCCAGATATTGCAAGTTTTTGTGGAAGCTTGCTCTGCTCTAACTGTACACAAGACAAATAATCTGCTGCTAAAATGAGATGAGTGGAGCTGTATCACAAGCATACAGCATTAGTCCCCAGCAGTCTGGCGCCTGTTCTCTTGCCAGTGGTGGGAGGAGCAGCAAACAAACCAGTCTCACTGGCTGCAGAAAAGCTTCTGCCTAAATCTAGAATAATATGTTTCGTGTTCACCATAGCAACTAGCTTCATTTTGTCTTCAAAGCTTTTTGCCCCTTCAACTTCTTCCTTTTCTTTCACACCTGAGGGACCTCCTTGACCTGTCTGAGGGTTGCCCAGCTCCATCGTGGCAGCTTTTTCAAGCGATGGAATGGGGTTCAGCAGCCACTTCCAGTGACACTCCTGCTGTGCTGCTATTTCTGTGCAGTGTGGCTCTGAAGGAAAGCCTCCTCTGTGCTCTTCACAACTGCCTCGGCCTCGTGACTTTAGCTGTAATTTATGGATCCATGTTCCTTTTGAGCTTTTAAAAATAATTCCAGTAGGAGGAGTTTGTTCTGGCTCCAGCTGAAGTCGGGAGCAGGGGCTGTGGTGACTGGTGTTAAGAGCAGAATTGGGATGCCATTGCCCTAGGAGTGGCCTGCTTGAGCAGGCAACTTTAATTTTCCTTCCAAATACTGAGATTCCCTCCCCTGCACTTCCAAGTCATCTGAGACCCACCAGTGTTCAGCCATGTGGCAGTGAGGGAGAGGAGTGGCAGGAAGCGAAGGTTTGTTCGTTTACTGTTACCAATCCCATTGGAAACCAGGCTCGAGCCCCATGTAGAATTCCAGTAAAACCCTGTCCTAAAGGGGGAACCTGGGGCTGTTCAAAGCCTGTGTTTTGTTGGCTCAGGCACAGCATGTTTCTGAGGCCTCTGACCTCCTCCCCGTACGCTGGCTCCCGCCGCGGCTCTTCGTTTGAGCTCTCTGTGAAGTGGAATCTATCACTAATGTCTGATATTTTTATTATTTGTAGGGGGGACTCTTAAAAGCTGGTAGCAATTAGAGCTTAAACATCTTGGAATAAAAAAAAAAAATCCCCAAGAAGGAAGTTTAATGCTAAGCAGATGTGCAGGAGCAGCTGAAATATGCTGGCTGTCTTCTGCTTCAGAAGCAACCTCATCCACTTCTAGCTGCTGTCAGGCTGGGGCAGCTCAGAAGTGCTGCTGCTTTTATGCTGCTTCCTAGGCTGGGAAGCCCACACTGGTGACCTGTGGGATTGTTTACCCATTAATACTTACATTGCCCTTCTATTCTGGCTTAAGCCAATAGTTTTGACAAGGGGGAAAAATAGTTTCTTTAAAAATAAATTTTTTTAAAAAATTTGATAATGGCTAACAGAATTGGTTTATTTATGGTGAGATCTCACATGTGTGTCTGTAGATATGGCTACTGTGGATCTAAGTTTAAACTCTCTCTTCTTGGGTAGTCAGATTCAGAGTAGCCCTAAATTTGTGTTAAGTGCAGTGTATTTCCTCTAACTTTGGGTGTTTCCATCTTTTGCTGCAGCTTGGGTGGGGGCAAACTTTGAAATTTTCGCAGTTACTCCTGCAATACATCATCTGCTTGATTTATCATTGTCGTGTTCAGGTTCTTCTGTTTGGAAAAAGATCTGACAGTTGACTGAAGTTCATAATCGTGCTCTGAAGGCAGTGGAAGTCTATTCAAAAGCCAATAGACAAGTTGCTGACAACAACTCCTTCACACCCTTTCCCGTGCGTGCCCCAAGTCTGTAACAGAAACATGCTGTATATTCCCTCCATGAGCTACAGCACAAGTTACTCTGCCAGATTATTTCCTGTTGCACTCCACCAATGCAAAGCCCTTTTCATTTTTTCTTAATTTTTAACGGTAGTCCAAAGTAAATTATTGTTATTTACCACAGTGTATTTGGTAGTGTATTGTGACAGTGCAGCACATGGGTTTGGGAGTCAGATGGTTGAAAGACTTCAGAATTTTCTCTAAGCTGCCACTATAGAGAATTTACTGTAAAGTAGTCAAAATTCTGAATCCCTTTGAATGGCAGTGCAACTGCATGATGAAAATTGTGTCCCTAATTTAAAGAAAGGACTTCAAAACCTCAGCATTACCTTAGTTCTGAGAAAACAGCAGTGTGTTTCTTGGACCTCTGATTTCCATTGGGAAAGTTTGAAAGCTGTTTCTTAACATTTGTATCATGCTAGCAATTCCTCAGTTACATATGTACTGTGAATCTATTACATTACTATCTAATAATCTTTTTAATGGAGATGCTCTGCCATTCAGAAGACAGTAACAGATAGACAATGCCACCACTATAGTCTGCTTTTCTCTCCAGGTGGTTGATGGGTGCATCTTCTCTGTTGTTAAACTGCTGGGTCCAGAACAGGGTTTCCCAACTGCAGGTTTTTCAAATTGCATTTTGGAGTTGTCAGAATTTAAGAAATTCTTAGACTCTCATATAAAAATCTCTTTCTGGATGTCTCTTCTCCCAGGCAAAGAGAGATAACAGCTGCCCTTCTGCTCCTTCATCCCACAGAGGGGAAATGATTGTTATTTAGAAATGGGGGGAAATCTGTTAACTTTCAAAACATACTTCCAGTGTATTCAAGAAAAAAAAAAACAAACACTTAACATTTGAAGATTGTTCCCAAGATATGTATTTCGACCTCATTTTATGGAGGGGGAGGGAAACCTTTTGACCTTGTTGGCAGCAACTCTTATCAGCTTTCTCCTTAGCCTGATCTCTGTCTCATTCATTGCTTAAAACATGGAATTTCTAGTTATACTCTGAATATACCTTTATTGGAGCTTTGTACTCTTTTCCACAGAGCTTTATTTTCTATTGGCATTTTCCTTAATGCAATTCCAGGGTAATAAGATGCTTGTAGAAACTCACATGTGTTTGCTAAGCTCAGTCTCTGCAGGCTGTCTATGTGTCTTTTGGGTATGATTAACAGCTGCAAAGATAAATAGTTTTGCAGGTCTGAGGTTTAATAAGTCAGACTGTCTCTTGGTATGTGTCTTCTGAGCTATTGGAGCTCAGAATTCGACCACCTACAGATCAATTTCGTAAGTTCTGCAAATCCACTAAAACATAAAAATTAACTGGGTGCTTCTTATGACTTGACCTTCCTCTGAGTCCCCATCATGCCAACACTACTCTTAAGAAAAAATTAATGTCTCTTTTACAGCTGTCTTTACTAACTCTCAGACTTTCTGATATGACTGATTTTCACTGTTTTCTTGTGTCTCTAATTACTTTCTTTTTTCATGGCTGCCCTATGATTGGATTTCAAGTTTGGATGTCCAGTTTGTCTGAGACTCCAAAAAAGAGTGTCACTCAAGGTAAATTCTTGTGTCTTGGTGTTCTGCATGCTATTAAAACCAGAATTCTTCAGTTCAAGCTGTGTGTGGTTTTGGAGTTGTCTTGAATGTTATCTCTGACAGGGGATACCCAGGATCTGTTGTCTGCTTGTGTATTGGTTTTTCATGATGCATGGTTTCTGGTAAGAAAGAGCTTTGCTTTTCTGATGACTGCCTCACCTTGATGTTGCTGCTAGCAGGGGTTAGTCGTTTGCAGGGTTTTATTTTCCTTACCCAACTCAAAGCCACTGTCCAAGGCAGCTTCTCCTCTTGTGGTGGGTTGAGCCTGGCCACAGCTGTGCTCTCACTATTCTACGTGGGAGAAACTTCATGGGTCAGGATAAGGCAGAGAAACATGACTGTGCTCCCTATCCTTCTGAAATGCTCTTTGCATTTCCCCAGTAAATAGAAGTGATTTCATATGAAAAAGCTGAAACTCTGATAAAGATGCAAAATTTTCAAGGGAACATCAGCCACCTCGTTGCAACGAGTCAGGAAGGAGGAGGAAGCAGAGGAACAGCTTATAGATGAGGTGTCAGGGGCTAGGGAGCAGTAGTCCCATACAAGGCAAAACCTCAGCTTTATAGTATAAGGAATCAGGACTTCTTCTGTGTAACCAGTGGATTTCTTCTGCAAACATTTGTCACTTGACGTGGAATATCACAGAAGAATTCTTTTCTCCTTCAGACTTAGAGATCACATATGATAGATCCTGTGCCTGTACAAAATGCTGGGCTGGTCACTCAAGCAGTTTAAGCTACATATAGGTCTTGGGGCAAGGAAAGATGGAAACACTCCTGCTGATTTCCATACCAGATTTGGTAAATATTCAAGTTCATGCCCTGTTGAAAGTATGTGAACAAAATCCCATCATCCTCGATGGATGAGTGCTTGCTTGTCTGAAGTTTTTAGTGACCAAGACTGCTGTGATTCCAGAAATGCTATTCTTGACAGAAGTTGAATATATCCTTGGGGGTTCTGCCTCATCTTTGCAGAATAGGTCTAATTTGAGGATGGTAACTGGATATAAAAGTGCAGAAATATCTGGTATTCAGTTACGGGAGCCTGCTGCTTCATAGGTCATGGAGGAGTTGAGACAGAAAAACAAAGTGAGACTCAGCAACAGAGAAATATGTGAAGGAGGAGACACAAGAGGTAGTGTCCCTCAGGAAAAGTGACAAGAACTCCTCAAGAACTGGCTGGGGAATGGGGTTGGGTTTCTTTGACTCGAGAGATCTGTTGTGACTGTTTCTTGTTGTCATGCAAAATGGCAAACTAAATGCCAAGGTTTTTAGCCTTCTTGAAGGGCAAGGAAGCAAAATCTTTATAGATACAATTTTTTCCCTTCTGCTTACTGCTTTTAGCTATATGCATGTCACTAGTTTAGTAAAAAAAAAATCTGTGCATGATGAGTGTGCAAATATAAGTGATTAATTGCATTGCATGGTGCTTGAGAAGGTGAATGTTGATACATAGTGCTGCTCAAGTCTTATGTTCATTTGGTAAGTTCTTAGCTCTCTGTACTGTTTTAGTTCATGTGGCCTTTGAGTTTCTCATCCAAATGAATCCCATTTCCAGAACAGCTGTTCTTCAGTCCAGATCTGCCATAGGCTGTATCCTGATGTGTCAAGCTGGTAGATCAGACTTGAATTTAGATGTGATCTTTACCTAAGTAGTACATTTGTGTCCTAGCTAGGCTGTGGCTTGGAGATGAGAGCAGAAGCCAGTTTCATGCAGCCCAAGCTCTCACTGAGGTTATGAACCTGCTCCATGAAGTGGAGACTCTAACCAAGACTTTGAAGTGGTTTCATTTTGTACTTTGGAAAAAGCTGGGTGCCACACAACCACACCCTGGGAAGTGCTGTGGTGGGACTCCAGTTTGGTCACCCTGACTGCTGTTACAATCCTTGGCTGGTCTGCTTTGTGCCATATGCAGGGATTGGGTATGTGTTGCACCACTGAGCAGGACTAGGGCAAATTCCAGAGTATATTGGTGACTTCAGCCCTTGTGGAAGACCCAGTTTGGCAGCTGTGTGAAAATCTCCAAGCAGTTTAACAGATTTGTCTGCAAAATACTTAAGTATTCTTAACTGTTGCTACCTGTAACCTAGTTGGTTGGAATCACTGTTCAGAGAGCCAACTTTCCAAGAAGGAGTGGAAAGAGGACTCAACTTTTTACTTTCACCCTCCTGCCTCTAATTTTTCTTGGCTCTGTTTTAAAACCTAGCAGATCAAAAATAAAAAATAAAAATCCTGAGACCAATAGGCTTCACTTGGCAAAGGTCAGCACTAAATTTTTCTGTTGGTCAGGATTTCTTTGAAAATGCTGCTGAGGGCTGTAAAGAGGGAAGAACCGAACTGGAGCAGCTGCTTGAGAGAGCTCTTGCCTTTTACCATGAGCCAGGCTCATTCCTGAGGTGCTCCCCATGGGGGCTCTGTTTTGCTGCTGGTTTTAGCTGTGTGTCACACACACTCCAGTGCTGGAAGCCACAGTCTACCTTAAAGCTGCCACTTGTCACAGACTCTTGAAGGCTTGCCCAGATCTTGGTTCTTGAAAGTGACAGAAAGTACTATGTGTGTGCTATGGTGGGGAATGAATCCAGGCATCCAGTTAATTTTTTGCTGCTGTGATTGCTGATCATAGTCTCTTCTTGGTGGCAATGTGTGCTGTTGGTGTGAGTCCCCTAGAGCCGCTTGTAGGAGCAGCCCAGGAGGTTAGGAGAGACTTAGTGCAGCTCATGGAGTTACCATCTAGACCAGGTCTTGGCATGTTTAGCCAAAAAATGATAGCAAGAAGGGCTGGAGCTTTGGCTGTTATTGCCCCATGTCCTGAAAGGCTTGCAGAGCACATGAGCAGGGAAAGTGGATGGTTGGATGGGTGTTCACTTAGAAGAAAACTTCTCATACATCAATCACAGCTGCCAGCCTGGGGTGAGGGGTTTACATGCTGACCTGGCCATTGCTGGGTGCATGATGTTCAACCTTGTTTTATTCTCAGGCATTCTTTGTGATTTGGACAAGGCTTTAGGCCAAATTTCTCTGGTTTTGGGTCTTCTGCATTACCTAGGTGGTGAGATCCAAACCATTCCCTTTCTGCTTTCCACCCATCTCTCTAATAGCAGGGTGTCACCTGCTTCTGAAACTCTCTTCTGAAAATGCAATAGTGTGTTTTTGTGCTTTGTAAAAAGATACCTGGCCAAGCTCAGAGAAGAGCTACAGAAATCATAGTGTATTAATAATCATTAAGTGTAATTTGATAGACTTGCCCTAATGTTTATTTTCTTCTATAATTGGCAATAATCCAGACATTGAAACTGGATTTGTACTGAATTTCTGAAGTAACTGTGGGAGGTGATAAACTTTTGTCTCTGTCCCTAAAGCTTTGTGGCTCAGGACTGCTACACCAAGAGCCTCTGAGCTTTGAAGTTTAAACACTCTTAGGACTGGGAGGATTGCTTTCTAGTGGGAGGGATGAAGATTAATCCCCTTCAGTCACAGCTTGTGGCAGTAGTAGTCTTACCTCCAGGAATAACTGATGTATAAATATAGTCTGAATTTTGGTAAATGGCAATGGGGCTGAAGTGTGACAGGCTAGAGCACAGGAGTATCTAGGAGATGAGTCAAAGCCCCAGTGTTTAGGGCACACAAAGAATAAAAAACAGACAAAAATCCAAAACATCAAGACAAACCAAAATCTGTCTCACTGAATAGAAGAGAGATCCTAGACTGGGAAACAGAGTTTTGATCTGAATCCATGTTGTCTCCATAGAGATTTGTAGCAGGCTTCATAACTCTCATCTCACTGCTTACTCTAGGAACTGGTTATTTTAGAGCTACTTTTCCAACACTGCTGCAATATGATGAACTCTTGTGTACTCTCACATGCATTACATGGCAAAGTCTGTTTTATCTTGTGTGCACTACACACTTAACCCAGTTTTAGGCAGACCTAAGCTATCTTAACACAGTTCAGGATAAATCATGGGTGGAAAGCTTAAAGAAAACATTGCAATTTTAATGTTTCTTTATTATAGCCATGTGGTCCTTCTGATAAGAAAGAAAAGAGGTGAAGATTTTACGGGAAGAAATTCCATGTATTTAGAGCTGGGTGTAAGATTGCTGTAAGGAGTTAGACTGATTTGGGGATTTTAAGTAGGCTTGCTGCTATTCTGGGTATTTTTTTTCCCTTCATCCTTCCCCAAAAGGAGTTTTCCAGAGATACATAAAGTTTACCCTTCAACAACTGGCTTTAACAAGAAACCGCAGCTCTAGATCCAAGCTACCACAGTTACTCCTCCCTGTGTGTGGAAAAGTGCAGAGCTCTGCCATTATCTTATGGAATGCCAGGACACTGGGGCTGTGTCTGCCAGACACCCCAGCGTGCAGACCCTGCACGTGTCCCCAGCAGCTGTGCCCATGTCCGAGGGCTGCACTACCTGCCAGTTGGTTCTGCAGCTGTGACTCACCCTTATGGCACTCGCTGGCCGTTTCTGTGGTTTTGGCTGCTTCTGCAGGACTTCACTGACCAGCCCAGTACTAATTCATTTAGTCTCAATCTATAAACACTTGATTGATAATCATGAAAGAGCAATATAAAAGCCTGTGCACTGTATGGATTAAAAGAGCAGACATGTTTATAGCCTGATAACAACAGAGTAATCTGGCAAAGATCAGGAGTCTCACATTCCCATATCCAGATGATTTTATTTTTGGAGTCCAGTTGGTGGTTTTCATTTTTGGCTATTGCAAAACCATCGTAGGTCTTAGCTGTTGCAACACAGGAGGAGGAGGATGTTGGAACGGACGTTCTGCGCTCTTATTTAGGAGGCTTTCACAGTAGTTGCTGGTCTCCGAGTGCAGCAGGAGGAATGATGCTCCCTCCTCGCTGCCTGGTGAGGGGTACAGGGTGCAACTGTGTCACTTAATAGTGCCAGCTGTGAGGGGCATGGACAAGCTCCAATGACATTTCTGCTCCGCCTCAGGAAGAGAAGTGCTGAGGTGAGGAGCGGGAGGATTGTAAAGTGGAGCCCTATGGAGAGGAGGAGGGCTATCCTCAAGACTTTAACCAGGAAACGGACTCGAGGCAAAAAGAAATGGAGAGGCAAGCAAATTCTTTATTTCAGCCAGCAATCTGTGCTCTGCTCTGGGGAGGGCTTTGCAAGTCGGAGTTTAATCAAACACTAATTCTGCTTTTTTGGAGGGAGAGGAGGGGGACCTTTACCTGGCACATCAGTGTTATCCTATCCTCTGCTCTCCATTTCTCCTGCCTGGGCTGAAGATGCTTTTTTAGAAGTAGAGCTGTCGTGTTAGGGTGGCATTGCAGCTGCATGTGAGCTTGCTGGGGAATTTGTGCCACGCTTTATCCCTCTGCTGTGGTGTGCTCACACCGAGCAGGCTGTTACTCCTCAATGCATGCTGTGTCCTGTGCTACAGATCAGACCTGAACTAATTGGCAGGGATGCGGAAGCGCCCACGGCAGCGGGTGTAATTGGTGCTGTGCTCCCTGTGGTGTTGCCTGTCTTGTTGTTTTGAATCCCCTTTGGAGAGTCTGACATAGTGTAGCAGCAATGTTGTGGGCATCCTGAGTGTCACTGAGGAGTAATTCATCTAAAGAAACTTGGGGATGGAAGGCTGAGGAGGATTCAAGTCCCTTACTCCGCTGACTGTGCCTGAAGGGAATGTAGTAACAACCCAAACCAGGCTACCCAGAAAATGGTAAAGGCTTTGGTTACTGGAAGGAGCTGTTTCTCTCTTTTCCTCCTTCTCCCTTTCTTTGCTCTTACTGAAATCTTCCCCACTGTGCAGTACCTAATCTTGGGTGACCATCACTCCAGGAGCCCCAGGGACCCCATGCCTCGAAAGGGGGATATCCTCCAGGCATGATCTGCTGCAGCTGTAAATGAACACGCTTGTTTGACCTTGGTTACTTCCTAGACCAAAGAATTTATCACCCTATTTTTTTTTGTCTTAATAGGAGCCCTGTAGCACTTATACAAGCGTCTGTTAAAACAATCTCTTAATTGTATGTGTTCCTCCAGCCACTGTAGTGACAAAGAAATCCTCCTGCAGTGACTACCTTATCCAGGGCAGGACAGAGTAACCCAGAGAAACCCTGCTGGGTTTCAGATATGAGAATGCAGATACAACCTATCTTGCCAAACTGTTTTGAGTGGGGTTTTTTTTGTTGTTGTTGTTGGTTTTTTGTTGTTTTTTTTTTTAAGCAGAGTTGTGGAGGTGGATTTGAAGTGCTGATTCTCCATGTTTCCTGGCAAGGGCATTCCCCTGGCACACAGTCCCTAGCTTGGCCTCTGTGGCTGCCAGTGGGGTGTATGCCAGCCTGCACTCCAGCCTAGTCCTCTCCTTGTTCCCAGCAGGGACACGTGCATCACATGAATGCTGCTCCTGCCACCAAGCCAATGCAGTCTTTTGGATTTTTTTTCCTTACTCCAGTCCCATGAAAACTGCCTAGTAGGTTGGAGGAAAGAAGGCATTTGAGTTGTTGGTTTAGCAATTGGCTTCCTGCATGTCCCCTGCTCGCCTTGCCACTGTTTGGTCCCTCTTGCCTTTCTACACACTGAATCCTCTGCTGGTGCACGTGTGACAGCTTTTGTTTCTGGTTAAAAAACCTGTATTTATCTCAAGACTAAAACAAAGTAGGGGTTGTAAGTACTACTTGCCTAAGCAGGTGGAATGAAGATTATAACACTGCTGGATTCTGGACTGGAGAAAAGACTGTGGGAAGCAGTGTGAAACTGGGGAAAGCATCTCATCTTACTCTAGGTAGCTCAACTAGCACTAGTTTAATCCAGAGTGCACGAGTCAGGTTGATTGATCATGAAGAGAAACACGATGCTTATTTGGAATGGACAGCTATGGTGAAAATTTGTGTTATAAATTTCCATGTTGTCAGTTCATGGTCTTCTCCTCCTATTCCTGCTACTGGCTGTGGTTCAACTATCTATAGAAAAGCTAAATCTCTTAAACATAAGCTTCTAGAGGAGATGACTCCTCTTTAAAGACAATTAACTTATGTAATTTGAGGAGAGGCAGAAGCATGCTTAGGGAGCAAGGAAGTCTTCTACTTTTCTGAGTTTCTTAAACCTGGTCCAAGGGGAGGCATTGTGATAGTGTTTCCTTTCAGGAAACAGTTGAATTAATTGCTTTTTTTCCTAGGATTTTCATTTCACAGGATGCTGTTTTAATGGCTGATGCATTCTTTACCTTTCTTGGCAGGGATGCTAATTACTTGTCTGTAGAATCACTTTGCATCTCCAGTCCAAACACATATGAACATGCTGAGTTTGGAAATACAGCACCCAGCATCCTGTGCTTGGCTGTCAGTCCCTTGACTTTTCTGGTGGACCATGGGCTTCCTTCCCGTCTCTTGTAGCCAATTTATCATCAGAAATTCAGGAAAACCCAGAGTCTGCTCTTGGCTCTGTCCCTCTGACATTTAGTAAGTTGTGTATCTGCTTCTGTCCTCCCTTTCAATCAGCATCTTAATCCAGAGGACAGGAACTGCCTGTTAATACATAAAATGTATAATAATGCTGGTGTCCCAAACTGCTGTAATTGAGAAAACCCGTAAAATAATTTTGCAGTAAGGCATGCTGGCTCTTACAAAAGTAAAGAGCCTAAACGGGGAGGTTTTCATGGCTTTTCGAGGCGGTTTCAGGCCGAGCAGAGTGGGTCTGTGCCGGGGTTTGTTTGTGTTGCATTGCTGAGCCCAGATGTGGCAGCCCAAGGGCTCCCTGCACATCTGGCACTGTGCTGTGCCTGCCTCGTGGCTCCACCTCGGAGTGCACGATTTCGGCTCGGGGGTGAAAAAGTCAGAAATTATAATGATTTTTTTTTTTTTTAAAAAGAGACCAGTGGTGTGGGGGAAGGGAGGGACGAGAGCGTTTCTTTGCACCTTCTGTGGCCTCTGTTGGCGTGAGCTCTGCTCTCATTCATAAATGGCACGGACAGCCGAAAGCCCTTGGTCCGAAGAGAAATCGAAGGTCTGGGGGGTGGCTCCCAGGGCTCCAGAAAGGCGATGGAGAAGGGGGAGCGGAGCCCCGTCCCGCCGGGGGAATGCGGAACCGCGGGGCTGCCGGGGGGTGGCCGTGTTCGAGCAGCGATCTGGCGCTCTGACTTTTTTCTTCTTCTTCTGTTTCAAGTAAACACTCTTCCCCGCCCTCCCCTCGCTCCCTCCACCCCACCTCCCTCTCTTTCAGTCCCGCTCATGTGTTTCTATTTAAGGGCTGCAGTGCAGACGAATATGATTGGCATCTACAGCCCCCTCTTGACTTTCAGCTCAAGCCTTTAGAGTGGAGAAGGAGCTGAGCCGCCAAGGGGAGAGCTGTTTCTTCTTTGGGTTTACTGGGGGGATGGCTCAGCTGTGGATTTATACTGCTTCTGCCCAGGATTTTTCTCTCTGAATGGGAGCAAGGATTGTGGAAACCATGTTGGGAAGAGGTTTATTTTCAGAATCCATCATGAAACTGTGCAGCTAATTCATTTTTTTGGCTCCTTTTTACATTTTTTTTTCCTCCCCTTTTTTCTTCTTCTTCTCTCCAATGTCCCTCTGTGCTGCTGGGTTGTGGGCCAGAGGAGGCTGTTTCTATATGGCCAGCCATTTGGGGATATGCTGCGAGCCAAGGTTGTTTGCTGATTCGCTTGGCTCTGGTGACAAGTTGGCCTGTTGTGAATCGGATGGACGGAGGTCGCTCTCAAGGAGCCATGGCTGGAAGCTGGCTTACGGCTTGCTTTTTCCCTTCCCCAGGTGCTGATGCTAGCTCTGAACCCATGATCCTGGAGCAATATGTGGTGGTGTCCAACTATGAGAAGCAGGAGAACTCTGAGATCAGCCTCCAGGCTGGAGAGGTTGTGGATGTCATAGAGAAAAATGAAAGCGGTAAGTTCTGTTTGCTGCTTTTCCCTCTCCCAGTGGTTCGATTTTTGCATTTGTTCCTCTGCTTTCAGTTTCCTCATCACTACTTGTTAGCTGTGTGTTTGCTCCATCTGGTACAGTTACTATGTCTGGCAGAGGATGTTGAAGTTTCTCCATGTTGATTTGGGCTGGGGGCCAAATGTTGCCTTCTACTGTAAGAATGTTTCATAAGTTTTGTGTGTTAATTAGCCAAGGTACGCTAATGGAAAATGAAGGTGACAGAGAGAAGGATCTGCAGCTAATGAAGCTGATGTATAGTAGGCTGCTATAGTTGCCCTGCTGTCTCTTCAAGTTTCTGTCAGTATTTCCATTACTAACTCTCTTTGCAGAGGATTTATAGGATGAGTGTTTAAAAATTGCTTGGGATGAAACTTGGCTTGACAGCTTAGCCCGTGGCCCAGAACTCAGTAGGAGGGGAGAGAATGTGCGTAGATAAATACGTGGCCATGCACAGTTTCAAAACTTCTTGCAGAAGTGTTAATTGGGAATTTTGAGGCAAAGAGGCTGTCATGTAAAAGCAAGATGAAATCTCTTTCTGCTGCGTGTGGAATAACCAGCTTGCATTTGAAAAATGAGATTTTTGGCAAGTGTTTGTATAGATTTCTTTTGTGTACTTTAACTTTTGGATGCCTGGTAGCTTTGAGTTGGGCAGAACACATGCAGGAGACTGTGTACGTGTGAGTGCTTGGAGTGGCTTAGCAGCTGGTTTGAATAACTGCCTGTCTTCAGCAGCTCCCCCTCCTCCCCTTCAGCACTCCTTGTGTATTAATCCAGAGCTGTTGTCCAGGACTGGTTTCCAGCCCACTCGTGACTTGTGTGTCCTCATCCAGAGGAGCTGCTGACATTTGCATCTGTTCAAGTCAGGGCTCTCGCCACTGGCACACTCTGGAGTGTGCTGGGCACAGCAGAGCTTGGGGACACTAGGGGACCCTGATCCAAAGTTCAAATTCAGCTTCCAGAGCTTTGAGCCAGGTTATCCACAAAGATGACCGTGCATTATATTTTTTTCCTTATTTTAGTGGAGTGGTAATTTCTCTGTTGTATGAGAGCCTCTTGCCTGTTTGGCTCAAAGTGATACAGTCATTTGCTGGCTGGTGATTTAGTGTGGAGTCCAAAAGGATTGTGTGTGGAAAGGCACTGGCTAGTGTGAACAGGAATACCCATCTCCTGAGTCCTGACTGTATCACTTGCAAAACTAATAGAAAGCAAACTGCTCATCTGCCCCACTTTAAAGCAATAGTTATGATTGAAGAGTGAAAAATGTCCACTTCTTGAACTGTGTCTGGCCTAGTGGACAAGCATCCTCCCTTCCAAACCTGCAGCTTCTCTTTGTCAATAGTGGGTGTCTCTGCCATCAGAGCAAGCCTGGTTATATTGTGGCAACTTATGTTCATATTCATGATCTCCTTGTCTTGGATAATGGCTTATGGAGCCACGAGAATTAATTGGGCTGTTAAATAATACAAGAAGTGTCTGAATTCCAGTTACAGTTCCTTTGTGTTTTCATTTTGTGTGGCCTCTCTGCCTTGCACAGTTCAGACCACATTGTATTGAACCACATGGTATGGGGAGATAGAAATGGAGAATAGTCAGGGTTTGGATTAATTAGTGGGTCCAGGAATGTGACTCTTCTCAGGGAACATCCTTGAATTTGGATTATACTTCTTAAAACCATATTCTGATGCTTGGCAGCCAGATTCCTTAATGTCCATGTAAACAACAAAGGAAATCTGAAGCCTGGAATTCCATGCTGTGATTTTGCTCTTTGTATTTATGGATGTACAAAATAAAGATATCTATATCCATTAAGAAAAAAGCCAACAGATAAGCTTATAAGTCACAGATTGGTGATGGAGAGAGCATCACTTGCTTGGATGCCTGTTTTAGCTGTTCTGGTAGGGAACTCATGGTTTAGTTATTCCAAATACAGGACTCCAAACAGTCTCTTAATTCTCCCCTAGGTTAGGGACACCACAGGAATGACTTAAATGCTATGTCTCCTTGTCTCTTCAGCTACAGCTGAACCTTTGGATGGCATGTAATGAAACTAGCTAAAGTTTCTCAAGAGTCAACGTCCAAAACCTATGAATTACGGCTTGAGTTTGAGTATCTGCTTAGTGTAAGCAAGCAAACCTAGGAGATGTGATTATGAGCACGGGGATCTAATTTTCAAGGAAATAAGATTATTGGGCTATGCACATGTGTAATACTTCATTTGACTGTATGGTTATGTTGGCCTTGTAAGTGTTGTGAAACCATCTGTGATGTATAAATTAGTCTCATTCTTCTAATCCATACAAAGGAGATGGAAGGTGTTTTAGTTGTTGCCTGCAGCAGGCACAATGTCTTCAATGAAAGGAAGGAAGAGTGGCTGGACAGCTTGCTAGCTGGCAGCTGAGAAGTCCTGTCAGACTGGACAGTGTGTGTTGGATGTGCTGTTGGGCCAATATTTTGAACTTCCTTGTATGTATAGGCATTTATCATGTCTTTTTGGGGTGTTTAGCTATATATGGGGTGGTTAGATGTGTAAAAGCAAAGATGACTATTTCATTCTAAAACCTTGCCTAAATAGGGCTGCCTGCTGATGCCAAGGACTCTTAAATGGTTCTTTTGTTTTCTGGAGCAGTAAAAACTTTAACTTGGCTTTGTTGCATGGCTTTCATAGGAAAGAAACACCTTTTTTTCCTGTTCAAATGTCCCTGTGTTTTTTACACAAGGAATCTCACAATCAGTTTCCAAATGATGATGCATGTTTCACATCCTGCTGGATGTTTTCTTCTGCACACTTCTAGGGCCTGGGCTAGAGTTACCATATTTTCTGATGTTTGCTTCCAAATTGTGTGCTCTCCTGAAATGATATGAGCAGTGCTTGTTCAAAGCCCAGTATATAGGGCAGAGATAGAAGGAGGGGGGGAAATATCTGGTATTTGATTTATTGAAGTCTTATCTGGTTTTCATCAAGCTTATTTAGCTTTATCTTAAGTGTGTCACACTTACTGTATACTATTACTCAGGGTTACTTTTCTCATATAAGAGATGGTATTTAAGGTGTCTCACAGGTAGGATGTACAAGCCCATTTGGTAGGGCCTGGTCTCATTTGGTTTTCTCTTGAAGAGTTGGATAAGTTGTCTTCATTATTATGCCAGTGAAAGTTATTACTTGGACATTATTTGAAGTTGAAACTTCTGTCCAGTGTTACAATTTAAGAGCAAGGTTAGTGTAGCATACGTGGTGAATAATTTCCAAAACTCTTAATCTGACTTGTGAAGTCTTTGGGTCGCTATAACCTAGCTGTTGCTGCAATTAGTGTGGGAGCAAACCTTGCTAGACTTAAATAAAGCTGTTGTACGAGTTATTTAGTAGTGTACCAGCTCTCAGGCTCCAGCATTTGGTTTTTGCAGTAAATACCTATCTTGGCTCAACAAAAGTTGTCCTTCAACCTTAGTTCTGTTTATAAGAGCAAAATACCCAGTGTGCCTGTTGTATATGATTAATATTGATCTCTTTTTTCCTTGGCTGGGAGGAAAATCTGCATGTAGCAATGGTCACAAATTCATCAGGAAAAAAAAGAAGGTTTACAGTCTCTACAGATGCTGTCTGGGAGTGGGCTGTAGTTCCAGGGCTTGTTTCTTGCTAGAAGTGGCTGTGATTTGTTTAAAGGCATGGTGTAACCAACCTGCTCTGTCCAACACTATCTAAACATTTCTGACTTGTTTCAGAAAAACTATGTGAATAGTTGACGTAAGTCCTGTCTGTCGACTACATAGGCTTCTTTTAAACCTTAACCAAAAAAAATCTCGTGGAATGACTTAAACGTGTATTTCTGTTGCAGAAAAGAAATGTTGTGACTTTAAAGCAGGAATCTGACAAATTTCTTTAAGATGGAAGAGGGAGGGCCAGAGCAGCTCTCTCTCTGCCAAGTTTTGTATGGATGTGGCTTGAAATGGTCAAGCTATAAACTGTGCCAGCAGTGTTTGCAATGGAAAACCTGACAGACAGTGAAGTATGAGCACAGTCCTGAGCACCTCTGCTGCTGCTGCTCTGCTTGCAGCAGGATGGGAGCTCTTTCCTGCAGCCTCTGGGCGCTGTGCCTGCGGTGGAGGCGTCCTGGGATGGCGTTTTCAGCTGGGCTGAGCAGGGCTGTAGCCATTTCCTCTGCAATTACATAACTGCAGAGCAGTGTTCAATGTTGCAGCACATGTAATACGTAAAACAAGGTTATTATGGTTAGTGTAACTTTATCGGGACCCAGAGGAATCTCTGGGAAGGGAGGCTGCTCTTCTCTCTTTATCTGGGATATGGGACTTGGCACTGAAGTATCCACGAGGAAGATTTTGCTCATCTGGGAGTCCTGGCTTAGAGGTCCTGGGACTTGCTGGTTGTCCACCCAGTGTTAGGAGATGAGTGTGTGCCTGGCAGTGTCCTCTGCTTCACCATTTGGTGTCACTGGTGCTGCTCACTGGCTGCAGCATAGAAAGGCCACAACTCTCAATTGCTGGGGATACACTGGCTTCCAAATTGGAAGCTCCCTCTTCTTGGATTGAGGGTTTTTGGAGTTAGGCTTCTGGCTCTTCATGGGGAACACAGCACCCTTTATTTGAAGGTGCTGCTTTCCAGAGTTAAGTAAGTGGATTTATTTGGTACCAGAAGGGGCCAAGATTACTTTTGTGGTTAACTGCTGCATATTGGCTAAAGGCACACCCTTAAAGTGTTCTAAGAGAAATAGGATTTCTCATAGACCAGTCTTGCATATTTATATCCCTTCTGCCATGCCTGTTCTTGCAAGTAGCATTGATGTTTTTTAGTCACTTTTCTTTAGTGTTGGTGGGGCTTTTGTTTCAAATTTTGTAAAGGTCACTGTTTCTATCTTGCATCTACCTTTTGCTGCTCTTCCTCTTTCTAGGTCCTTGTCTTCCTGATCCTCCCCTTTATACACAAAAGGGATTGTTTGCACTGCTAGCTA